TAATCCAAGAAATGAACGATAAAAAATAGATAAAAATTCAACATTAGTTTTTAGTTGAATAACTTCATTTTTTAAATTATTCCTTTAAATTATTTTTCTTTAAAAATAAAAAATTATTTCGAATAAAAATTTCGACAAATAAACAAATTTATAAAAAAAATGCTGAAATAAAAGTATAATATTAAAAATTGAGAACATCAAAGATTTCACACAAGAACTGAGCGATAAAAAACAAATTCAAAATAAAAATCCAACAAAGAATTGAAATTGAATAAAATTTCTGATACAATGTGCTGACAATGAAACTCAAAAGCAATTTATGCCTTATAATATAGCAATATTATACATATGACAATCATCATTTCACTTTTTGTTCACTGCCACAGTTGCTATTTACCACATAGAAAGCTCCATAATCCTTTTGTGTAAATTACGTGTAGAATTGAAAAAAATCAGCATAATTCGTTTATAAATCATCCACTTTTGAAAATTGAATACATATATCACAGAAAGTGTGATATTACCCATTTTCTCATTCGGCAGGAATAAACTTAAATAAGTTGAGATATCCTTGTGTAATCACAACGCTCTCTCAGCAAATGTGACAATAAGCTTTTCTCAGACATTCTCTGCATCAAGGCTTTTTTTAACCAAGAGCCGCTGTCTGCAAGACAATAGTTAAATTCAACACTACTTTAATAATTTTTTTAAACGCGTTGAAATATGATGTGCTAGGTCAATATATTATTAATTCTTGCAAAATGCATATGAATAAGGTAACAGAAATCTGGTTGAGACTTATTATTTTCTACTATAAAAGCGTTTGCTAGACAGTTACAATTCGCAGAGCTTAACAAGATACATCGCTATCTGAAAGGATTACTAAACAAACGGACGTTAATATGGGAAAAGTAGTAAGTTTGAATAACTTTTTATTTAATTTTAATTATGATTATAAAATATTAATTAGTTATTTGCAAACAATTAAAATAAATTAAAAACTAATACTTTTTCAAAAAAAAAATTGTTGAGAAAAAATAATTGAAGTAAATAATACACTTGAGCACTTGTAATATTTCTTTTAAATGTTTACGTTATGACAAAAATGCAAATGAATGTTAAATTATTATTTAAAAAATATCTTCTTTCAAGTTTTTTTAATCATAAAAATATTTTTGATAACTTTTTTAATTTCAGGGCTAAATTATATGACTAAAAATAAATAAAAATCATTAATCAAATTGATACACAATCTGTAAAATATTTTATAGGGTAAAATATTTAAAGCTTAAAGGCAAATTTATAAGAATGTATTTATAAGAATGTATTTAGAGATTATATCTATTAAAACTTCTGAGAAGGATTATTAATTTAGAGAATGCATGTTTAGATAAGGTTTAATTAAAACAAATTATTTGTTTAAAATATAGAAAATAAGAAAGAGTGAGATAAAATTATTTTAACTAAAAAATATCAATTTAAAGGAGATATTAACTATTAAATTTCTGATAAGTTTGATGCAAAAAATCAGGCAATAAGTAGATGAGATATTAATTAGTTAATAAATTACTGAAATCTTTATATTTACGAGTAAACAGAAGAATATCGTCTAAAATTGATAGCAGTTCATTGAAATTTGAGCTCAACTAATTTACAAAAGAGAATTAATTGCTTTACTTAGTTGATTAAAAATAATTTACTTAAGAATTTAGGAAAAATGTAAAAAATAACTTCACTAGATTAACAAGCACTTAACTTTTTTGTGTATCTCAAGTCAACCACAACCAAAATAAAAACTATCTTATGTGTATTTGATATTAATTAAATTTAAATTTCCCTAAAAAGTTCTTTAAATTTTATTATCACTTATCTATATAAATGTTACGAAAACAAATATGGGATACACGCCCCTTTAATTTCCATGAGGAACAATGAAAAATATTTAGAATTTTTTAAAATTTAAAGAAGTGCCTGTAAAACCTAAAGTTTAGAACTGTAATTCTAATAAGATTGGGATGTTTATTCTGTAATTCCTTCCATGGTAAAAATAGGACTTGAATAGAACTCTAACAGTTAAATTTGTACTAGATTGCTATATTCCTTTATTTAATAAAGTCAAAGAGTGAAAAACTAAATTCTAAGTTGGTTTTTCAACACTTTGACCAACATTATTAATTAAATAATTATGTAAGAAAACATGAATAATTGGCGGAATTACTTATCACTAAGTATTAATTGGATTGAAATATGATAATAGGTTCAGTAAATTACATTATAACAGGATAGTTAAAGCAAATAATGGTAGAAATTTTGAATTATAATAAGATAATCTAATAATATTGCAACTTCTTATTTTTTAAAATATTTTTTGATAAATAATAGTAATATTTCAAGGAAAAATTGCCTTAATTCAAGCGTAGACTATTAAAAATGCTTTTTGTCTTTTTGAATTAAAAGCCGATTATGAGTCTGTAACTCTGCATACAAATTCGTGTTTTCATTAATTTTGGGTAAAACATGCTAACAGTTTTTTGGCACAAAAAATAACAATTAATATATTATTGTTTATTACTATTTATATTTTAAAAAGTATATATATANTATATATATATATATTCTTAATAGTATATATCCTTTTATATTTTAAAAAGTGAACTCTATTTTAAGGATTTACTATATAGATTTGTTTCTTTACAGTCGGTTATCTTTGCCTTTGGAGTTTTGGCATGTTTATTAGAACAGTCATATGGTATGGGTACATATTATTATTCAAATCCCTATGCATCTTCATATTTCAATTCTTATCCAATGCCATACCAACCATATCAACAATATCAACAATATGCTCCTGTAGTAGCTATTCCAGCAGAATGTGAGGAAAATGAAAAAGGTGAGTGCAAAATAATATTAAAAGTTGATTGATTCGTTTTTGTTTGTTCTTTTTGTAGTTAAATGGGTTTTTGTTTTGTTAAATAAATTGTTTTATTTGTCAACTATATAGTTCATGTCTATCTAATTTTACTTTTATTCTAATTCTAAACTTATTTTAAGTAGTTGGACATAGCTGAATTCCAATTAAAGAAAAACACCCTGAAAAATGTATTATTAGAACTACCAGAATATGGTAACATTTACCGGGTTTCTGGTTCCATAAGAACAGCACAAGAAAGATAATTTTTACCGAAGCGCTTTGGCAATAAATTTTGATGAAATAAACAATAAAATACGGTTTATAACCTTTGCCAAATGTGGTAAAATTTGGTTATTTTATCAGGATACCTTAGACCATGGTGCAAAAGTCCCTTATTCGGTAAAATTAGCTTTTCATTTTTATAATTTTACTCAATGTGTGTTAAAAAGAATTATAATTTTAAAAACCAGAACTTTCTGTAAATTGTTACGATACAAAGAGAAAAATTAAAATTAAACGAATGGTTTAAATACCTTATAATTTGGTTTTATTATAAGAATTATGCTCTTTTTTAACCCGAAATATCATTATCATACAAATGTAGTAATCTTACCAGTATTTTTTCTCTGAATTTGAACTGAACCAGAATTTGAAATCTGAATGAAATTCTACTTTATTATAAAATAGATTTATTATGGATTGTATCAGAAAACACTATAGTTGAAAGTTGGTCTAGAGCCAAATGTAATAACCGTCAATATACTTAAACAGTAAGTAACATTTGAGAAAGAATAATAAAAAAATTTTTTATTGCTATAATAAGACTAATATTGGATTTTTTCAAAAAAATATTTGGTGAGGGACTTAAAATTATTTTTCTGTAATACACTTTGCAAATTGTTGATTCTTTTAATTTTCTCATTTCGTGAAAAGATAAGTTAGTTTAGATGGAAGTAAATTACAGTGGACATCAATAGCTACTTAACACTGTTTATATAATAATTAGGACGATATCACTTTATGAAATATTTTCCAAGAAACTCAATTTTATTTTTTTATGTTGATATTTAAGAAACTGTAATACCGTCATTTCCTTAATTTAATGTGAATATATTTTGTAAGTGTCAATCAGTGTCTAAAAGTAGAATATTTTACCATTTTTTAACTTTTAAAAAATACCTGGTAAAAGCTACTTGTTTAAGAAGCCATAAATTTATGGTTATATGTTACATGCAATAAAAAAATGAGACAATCTGTGCCTTTAAAATGAAATCTTATTCTATTTTTCATCAATTTTTCATTGAAATTTATTGTGCACAGAAAAAAATAATAAATTAAATAATATGTAATTTTTTATGAAACTGTGTTTACACAAGTAGTCAAAATCTATTTTTATTATTAATAAAATTGGTAAATCTTAGAAAGAAACAGGTTTTATTTCCAAAATATTTTAGGTAATTAAAAAGGATTTATTTAGTAATATTCATTAGTACAAAACAATATTATCACTGACAAGAAAATTTTCCTTTGCACAAAATTAACTTTGGTTCAATAAATTTTAATTATTATTCGCTAATCTGGAATATGGTATAGTTTATTATTCAGGATAAACAGTCTTAAAATAAAGTTATAAGGTCACGATTGGCTGTTATTAATAAGGAATTAAGGTAAGTAAATTTTATAACAATAGAAACACCATCGCTGAATTAAATATGCAAACAGAAATGTAAAATTTAATTAAATTTTAAACTAATTCTCCTTTTAAAATTTGCTTTTGCAATTTGTTGTTTAATTATACAAAACTGAAGAAATATTTTGGCTATTTTATTTTTAAAAATTTTATTCATTTAATAGAAGGTAAAGAGGAAGGTGAAAAGAAAGAGGAAGAAAAAGAAGGTGAAAAAGAAGAGGGAGAGAAGGTGGAAAAAGAGGAAGGAGAAAAAGAGGAGGGAGAGAAGGAAGAGGGAGAGAAGGAAGAGGGAGAGAAGGAAGAGGGAGAGAAGGAAGAGGGAGAAAAGGAGGAGGGCGAAGAGAAGGAAGGAGAGGAAAAGGAGGAGGGAGAGGAAAAGGAAGAAAAAGAAGAGGGCGAAAAAGAAGAGGGTGAAAAAGAAGAAGGTGAAAAAGAAGAGAAAAAGGAAAAGAAAGAAAAAAAGAAAGAAGGTAACGAAGAATTAAACGCATATTTTGAAATCTTATAGCATTAATAGTTTTTTGTTCTTAATTACATTTAGTTAATACTAGTTCAGTTAATGTGTGTTATTGCTATGTTTTCTATTTTTCATTAATTTGTTAAAAATTGACCTGAATGAAAAATCTGCAAAGTATATTTGTGGATGTTAATTTTCTTTCATTATGTAAATTTTATAAGAGCGTGCAAATATTTATGTATTTGTACAAAAATGCTCAGAGAAAAATGTAGCAATAACACAAACTACTCAGTTCAATTTTAAATTCTATGAGCCTACATTAAAAATATTTTATAAAAATTGAATAATATTTATTGCAAAAATATGTTTGTTTTAGTTAACATTGATATTTTCGACTTAAAAATTATTTATAAATGTTCTCAATTTTTAAAGGAAAAAATACGTCTTATCTTTCATTCAGAAATCGGGAAGTTATATTGAATCGAAAATTAAAAGGTCTTATTCGTTTATTACACTTTAGAAAATACTTTTAAAAGCAATATTAGGATTTTTTTGACGAAAATATCGAAACTTATTTGTCAAAAAAGACCGAAAGTGCAACGAATTATTTTTATTTTAAATGATAAATATAAAATAATAGCTTTTATCAACAAGTTCATAGTGTATTCTTTATATATATAGAAAACATTCCTGCAAAATTTCAAATATTTGAAATTAAAATATTTTGAGATATTGTATTTAGAATGGAGACAAATAATTGAAATATTAGTTATATGAAAAAGGAAAGAACAAATGCATAATTAATTCATCAATTATAAACTCTTTTTTTTAAAATTAAAATAAAATTAATTAACTATTAATAAATAAAAATTAATTGACTATTAATAAATAATAATTAATTAACTAATAATATAATTTAAAATAAAATTAATTATTTTATTTGACGTAGAAATAAAACTGTAAAGGTTTTATAAGGAGAAAAGTTCATAGTTTTATTTAATATTAAAAACAGAAAAATGATATTTCAGTCAAAATTGGCTTAATAATGGTTTTCGAGTACCATAATTAATTTTTCAAATCAGTCATTTACGCTTGAAATACCATACTAATAAAATAGCTCTACATTTTTTATGCCATTTTTTCTAATAACAACTTTTGTGATTATAGAAAAAGAGAAGAAGACAGCAAGATATATTCTGATTCGACCTCCCACTTACACCTATCCAGCAAGATCTATGCAGCCGTACGTATATTCCGCACCTTACATGCCTTATAAAACATATCCCGAATCATATCCAGCTAAAGCTAGTTACTCTTATTATTATTAGAGTCAATTGTCAATGCATACGAAGAATATGCTGCTTGAATGTACAACTCATCTGTTCTCGTCTACAATTTTGAGACACCAGGCATGTATTTTATCATCAGCTATTCCACTGTGCTCCTCAGAAAATCAATAGTATATGAAATCATCAAGCAGTGAATAGACTTTCTGATAATTTGTAAACTCGTGCATTGTTCATGTTATTTTGATATTAGAGTTGTATTTTTAATATAGCTTTGAAATTTGATTGTGATTCTTTTGTATAAAAATTTAAATATTATTGCGTAAAATTAATTACATTGTTATTTTTAAGCTGAGCATTGTCTATAAAAATCAAGTTTGTAAAAATATTTGCTTGTTTTTGATGTTTATAAAGTTGTTAAATTCTGCGTTTTGTTTTAAATAAAAATCCTATTTCCTGAAATGGAATTAATTTTCGTTATTATATTTTGGATTATAATGTTTATCAAATGTTTTGGCTAAATTTTGCTGAAATTTTTTTTAACGAATAATACAAAAATTTGAATTATCAAATTGGAAGTATTATTAATTCTGAAAATCTCATGTGGGACAAGATTACATGCGAAAATGATAACAAGGTAGGCTTTTATGAGGAATAAATAAATTGAAAATGATATTTGTGTTAATTAAGACGTTTTCTAGACGTATGCATTTCAACAACTTTTTAAAATTCCTGCTTTATTTCCCATTATTATGAAAACTCATTAAAAGGCTTTCTTCTAAGTGACTATTTGTAAAACTGCAAAAATTTAATTCATAAAAATGCTTCAAATTTTATTTTCATGTCAGCAATTGCATACTTTAATTGGATATAATTTTACAAATTTTTTTTTATAGATGTAAATTAAAAAACGGTAAATTGTAAATAAAGTAAATTGCAAAATGTTTGAATAATTTATATACTATTTCATGTTTATCATACAATTTTATTTAATGAAAAATATAATTAAGGAACACTTTCTTATATTTTTAAGCCTTAATGAATGAATGATTACCAAGAATGTTTGCATGATTTATCAAGGTTAATAGACATTTTAAACAATTAAAAAATTCTGCAAAAGGATTATAAATTTTTGATAATTGCGCAAATTAATTTATCAATTTGAATAAGGTAAAAAACTATGTTTTAATTTAGAATGTTACAGTTTTTGTCTGTATTTAATCTTGCCAATTACTTGCCAAATCTAACCTTACAATTAACTAATGCAGTTTACCAGCTAAAAAGTTTACAATTGATTAACTTGACATTTAAATTTTTGTTTTAGATTAATACAGATCATTTATACAATTGAAACTTTTTAAGGAACCCTAAAATGAAAACTTCGAAAGATTTAAAACTAAATTAAATTTTTTTGCTTGCATAGAGTTTCCATCAGTTTCTTTCTATCATCATCTATTATATTGAAAAAAATTTAGTGCATAATTTTGCTTCAACTGATTCGGCTAAAAGCTCTTGACCACGTCAAAACAAGTACAAGAACAAGTGTGAGGAATTTTTTTTTGTCATAACTGTAGCTCAAAATAAATTATGAATTATATTTGATAATTAACTGCACAAATTTATTTACGAATTCAAACTGTAGTGTTAATTATTGATGAATGTAATTTTGGACTCACCATAGCTAAAAAAAACGATAAAACATGATCTCAAATAATATTTATGCTAAGACTTAAAGGGCAGTAGATCAGAGGATAGTTTTTTTCTTCAAGAAATCTAATTTCTTTGCATCAATTATACATATGCAAGATATTTTATGAAATAAGTTTCATAATAATATTAAAAAATTATGAATACATATTATTTAAGACGCTTTTTAAATTATACCTAATTAAAAATGATTTTTCCGCTTATATTTATGAAAAAAACAATTGTAATAATTTTTACAATTTTTATAATAGATCACAAATATGATTTAGTATTAATGTTACCGTAAAGGTTTTAAAAATATACCATCCAGGTAAAAATATCTTGACACCGTCAATTCAACTTTTTAAAGTTTTTTTGTTGTTGCTCAAATGTTAAGTTTTCAATGTAAAGAACTATAAATAGAGTAATATTCAATGATTGAACTAAGTAATTATTCGATATAGTGTTATACTATAAAGTGATTTCCATGAAAATAATATTTATATTATCATTTCGTTTTCTACTTTTATGATAACATGCATTAAAGTATTATGCATGCTTTTTCTGTGATTTTATTTGGTTTAAAATTAATTTTCTTGCTGAACAATCGATTTCTGCTTGAAATATATTATTTGCATTAGCAAGTAATTTTAAAATTACATTTGAAATTCAAATGTAAACTATATGATTTACAATTATATTATTTACACTTCAAAACTAAGTGAGTTTGGTATTACAAAAAATAAGTATTAGGCTTATTTGACTTTAATTGCTATCCTGTTATTTGTTGAAAATTATTAATGATGAAAATTCACGTAGGTGAGTCATATTTACTTTGCATTTTTAGCCGATGATGATAATTCATCTCTTCAGTTTAGCAATTTATGTAACAAGAAGATATTCAGATTAAAGCCAACAAGATTATTTAGAGCATTACTTTTTTAAATTATTTTTTATAAAATGATTTCTATGAAAAGTTGCTGCTTATGCATCAGTTTGCGAGGAACACACTTAAATAGAAACAATCAAATTCAAAGATTCAGTTTTAAGAAGAAAAAAAACAATTCGAACAATTTTAAAGTAATTACGATACCAGAAAATTGGACAAGCAGTGGGTTCAGACTAGTAGATTCATCAATGATTAAATTAAGGATGGGGTTTAGCGTTATTTCAAATAGAGAGGCATTAAAAAAAAAGGAATATTCATTTATTAGACTACATAGAGAAGGACCAAAATAACTACTTTTTCAACCTCTTCTAAAAACCAGCAAGTCTCATTCCATTCTTAAAAATAAATAAAAAAATTTTTTATCTCGCGTTTTCTATATTTGTGTTTTACAAACCCTATTTAGATATTACATCTCAATTTTTAACCACTACGTTTTGTTATAAATTCAAATTTTAAATTCTAATAAACTTAAATAAAATAACTACTACATGCAAGTAAAATATTTAAGACAACAATAAAAAATTATTGACGTAAAAAGTACCTAAGATAATTCAAAATAAAATTAGAGAGACGTTTTAACTATCATCTTCATTAACTTAAAAAATTTATCAGATTTCCACTAATATTATCTGCATCCTTATACTTGAAAAGTATTTTCGTATAAATTATGAAATAGTATATAGAAAAATTAATACGGTAAAAATATTTCGAAAAAAGTCATTTAAGATAATTGTGTAAACAAGTTAATCCCATATTGTTAATATTATTGTATAAATTTAGGAAATATCTATCATAACTCTACTTAAGTACTGTTTGTTTCTATTTTTCAATGGCCGGGTTCAAATATTCAGTTCTAAAACGTTCAAAAAATAACATTCTTTTGCCATTTTTAAAAACAGGAAATATGATGAAAACTTTTCAAGTGCTTAGCGGTTTTTCTCCATTTAATCAAAATTCTTCTGCAATCTTTTTAATTCTCCGAAAAGAATTGCCTTATTTTACTTTCGGTTTCCAATTTTAGTACATGATAATTTCAAAATCTTTATTTGAAACTTGCATAATCCTTCTCGGTTTTTTATGGCTGCAGATTTATTGGCCTTGCAAGTATTTTGTTTCACAGTTCTACTTCATTTGCGTTACTTCATTGTCCGTTTACCATTTTGTTTCATCCATTTGCTATTCTTGATAAAATTCTGCATCTTATCTGCTTTTCCATTCTGTGTAAGATCGTTTTGCTTGATCCATATTCTCATTTGGTCTGTTTCAAACATCACGAAGACAACCTTTTCTTTTTCAAGCGATGTGTCTTTTCATCAATGTCTTTTCATCGATGGGTCAATCATCATCAAGAAGAAAGGTTGCCTTACCAGCCGAATTACCTTACCAGCTGGTTGGAAAGTTACCTTACCGCCCAGCTGGGCGATAAGGTAACTTTCCAACCAGCCCAGCTGGGCGATCAACCGCGATCGCAACTTGGCGAGAATCAAGGGGCACCCTCAAATATAGTCTACAAGAAACATCATGTTTACTCTTTCTCCTTCTATTACTGGCACTGTTCCTCTTTGTTCAGTTTTTAATTTTTCTAATTCCAATTTTGCCTACCACCCCAACTCCAAACGGCAATGATTGTTTTCGATTTTTTTCGCTTCTAATTCTTTCTCCAATCTCTCTTTCACCAATTCCTATAGTACTAACTTCGCTCCTTCCCCTTCATAAGCTTTATCATTTACAATTAAATCCCGTATCCTGGGCTTAGAAATTTCTTCTGTTACTTCTAATTCCAGTTCCAGCTTCAAAGCTATCAAATCACATTTCCGCCCTTTCAAAAAATATCAATAAAATAATAAAAAAATACATGATTCTCTCCCTAGTCTTGTGTTCGAAAAAACACTGATATCGGTTTTCGCCCCAATTTATAAGACACCAATTGGACGAGCAGTCTAGGTATACCTCATTTTATTATTAAAAAGAATATTTTTTTTCATCTCACTTTCTTGATTGTTTTCCTATTTCATTATTTTTTTTGCTGTTGTCAGCCTCGTTAAATTTATTTTTAAAAGTCCTGGCAAACGGTGTTTATAGGAACAATTCATCAGAGTTATAAAAACTCAAGACCTGCAGATTAAAGGCCTATTAAGAAGTAATTATTAACCATCGCATCGGAATTGAACTCGAGTCTTTGAAATATGAGAAGACATCCATTATTATCCACTATTGGCGCTTTGTTGAAAATGAACATCACAAACAGTCGATCCAATTAAGATAACTCGACAATACACTGTTAGAATTTTCATTCCAAAATTACGGTAAAATAATCGGCAGCAGTCTGCCCATTCGATTACCCATAAAGTTTATGGTTAGTTGTGAAGTTTGAAACCGTTTACTACTGCTACGGTTAAAAAAGCGCGAATACAAAATTATCCGGTTTTGTAACCATTTACAACGAATTTATTTTATAAACCATAAAAATGAAACGAACATTATAGCACTGTGAATGCTGCGCCATCTATTCGTATTTCAATAGTCTAGGGACACCACTAGGGAGTGCTGGACACTAGAAAATCTCCATGTATTGAAAGAGTGAGAGAAATATTGTGTTATCAACTCTGGGATTCGAACGTCTATTCAACCTGTTATGAGATTGACCGATTAGCCCTCTCAGCTACATTACGTAACCCAGCTGCACGGAATAAACTGGATTCTTAAAGTGGGCCTAGTTGACGTGGACATAAGTCTGGTTGGTAAACAACTGGTTGGTAAACATTGGATATAAGTCTGGTTGGTTAGGTAAAAAAAAATCAACAAAAGTTTTTTTCCCCACACAAAGGCAGTTTACATAACATTTTTTTTTTTTTTTATGGTTATTTGACTATTTTGGTTGAATATGGTAAAATAACAATTAAATAAATTGCTATTTAACAATTTTTACCGAGAAATTTCTAACTGTGTATCTGTGTTAATATTTAAAAAAAATTGCAACGAAAACAAACAAGCTCCTAGACGATTGTTATAAAAAGCAAACCTACTACGGAAATCATTTTTGTACTGAAAATGAAAGCAACTTAAAGAAAAGAAGATTAAAAACATATCTTGATTCTCAGTTATATTACCTTGAATCATCAACCTTGATTCATCACACCATTAAATTGATTAAAATATTAGATTGTAGTAATAAAAATAAAGAATTGAAATATGCACATTCACAATTAAAGAAATGGCACCGGCCTGTGTAGGGATTAGGGAACTGCTCTAGCATCAGAAAGGTTCTGGGTTCAAATCCCGGGCAAGGCAGGGATGTTCTTTCCTCCTCTGTTCTATCTGTCCTTACTGTGAGAGCAACGCTGGCCCACCTAATATAGTGACCCTGAAGGAGTGGCCGACGAATCTGCCCTTCAGGTGCCTGTATGACCTAGGTCATTATCCAGGTGGGCATTGGAAAAAAAAGCAAAGAAATAGGAAGAAAAATTAATAAACTGCTTTACTTGTTTAGAAAAAGGGTTGCGAATAATTAAAAAAGAGTGTATTAGTACTTTAAATGCAAACAATCACTACTTAATATACGTTTATGTTTTATAATACTTACATACGTTTACGTTATTACGTTTTATACACTAATTTACGTTTTTATCAAAATATCAGAAATCTCATATTTCATATCGGGTACACAATTTTTAAGAGGCGTTGTAAAACATGAACAAGATTGCAGGGAAACTATTTTTAATAACTGATATGTTTTTAACCATAATTATTTTTAAATTAATATTCATCATAGTTAATAAAACCATAAATTAGACCAAAATAATTTATTTAAAAATATTAACAGCTCATTTTAAAAGAGGCATAACTTATTTCCACTTGCACTTAATCATTTATTAGACAGAAGAAAAATTAAATGTTGATAAGGGAATTAAAAAAATTTATGACTCACCCGTTCCTTTCCTTATGTCCTGCATTTCAAGTAATAATTTGTGTTGCAATAACTTTTAGCTAAAGAAAACTAACTGGAATTTTCTAAACTTTAAGTTTTTAAGAAAATTCCTACAGTAAACTTTACCTCAGCTGTTTTGAGCTAATATTTTATAGTTATAGAACATCTTTATCTGGTAATTTAATTACAAAGTAATCGGAGTTTTTTGAAAAATCGTTTGATTTATTTTTTTGTTTCATTAAGTGGTTAGGAGAAATATTAAAAAATATTTTATTATTTTCCCAATTTAAATATTTATACAAACTTATTTTTCTCCAAAATAGTTTATAGATTTACTAATTTAACAAAATAACTGAAAAATAAAACATTTATTAATTACAAAATAAAACACATTTTTTTGCAAACGATTTTCTAAACGACTTATTTTGGCAACCGATTTCGTAAATAAGTGCATTAATGAAATTTATACTTTTATTTTTAAATAAAATACTAATGCATAAAAAATGTTTACGAAAATTGGATACCTGAAAGAGATGTCATTGCGGGTAAATCGTGGCATTCGTTTATGCCACGATTCCAATCAGGTTCGACACACACGCGTGATGTCTCTTACAGGTTTCCAATTAATTCCGATCCAAAAATTGATTCAGTGTAGTGATAAACCAAGGCTAATTACTGTAACGTTTAACCATTGAAGCACAATTACGTAATTAAACCTAATCAGGGGAATTGAATCCCATGGTTGGTCCTAATCACGTATCCAATTAATAATTTTATTAATAACTTATATGATGTGTTCTAAAAAAATGAGAAGAAAAAACTATTATGTAATATTTGATTTAAGGACATTATTTTGACACTTTAATTGCTAATTTAATATTTCAAAGAGCACGCAGATCTCATTCTATATAAAATCGAAATGTTTGCCGAAGCGGTTTTGTAATGATTTTGGTAAAATTAACAATAAAATATGGTTTTATAATATGTGATTCAATTTGGTAAACTTGATTATGTTCAGTAATTTTATCCTGATATCTTAGAATATTTCATAAAAACCATTTATTCAGTTTATTTTACTTTTCAGTATCGTATTTTTTACGTTATGTGGGATAACAAGAATTATAATTTTATAAAGCAGAATTTCCCGAAAATCGTTATTATAGGAACGGAAAAATTACCAAATAAATGGTTTAAATACCGTATATTTTGGTTCATTACCAAAATTACGGATTTTTACCAGAAATTTCATTAACACACAGTACGGTAATTTTACCAGATTTTTTTTCTCTACGTATTTTGTCAAATATGTTATCCCTAATTATCACAGAAATTTTTATTATAATGGGTCAGTATATTAACCATATGTTAATAATTCATTTCAGAATTATTTCATAATTTGTTTCAGAATTTAAAATAGAAATACTTTTACAATCTTTACATAATAATACCTTGTTTGTAATATGAAGTTGAAATCAACAAAGAGATGATTATCTTTGAAAAAAATAAAGAAGTAAGGATCAACGTTTGCCTTCACTTATGAATTGTATACATTTTTTTACTTTATTTCAAAAAAGGAAAAATTTTCAAATTCAACGAAAATAGTTTTACTTCATGGTCATTCACTTCTGAAAATTGCTTGCAATTCACGAAAGATATATGGGTTTTTTGTTACTAAGAGTCAAAATATTGATTTAAAAGTTACTTAAGTGCAATTTTTCATTGTTTATAAACTCGCTTACATTTCATCTTGACTTTCAGTCACCTTAAATTTTAATATTGATAATTTTACCTCATAATGGATTAGAAGTGCGAAAATCCTTGATGAGGAAATTTCAATGGCAGTGTTTGTAATTTTCAAGGCGATGACTATGCAGTAGAAAGTATGCATTATAAGATAAAAACAGAATTCTTACTAAAAGGAATCTGTGATTTAAAATTTAAAACCTGAATATTTAAGTTCATATAAATACAATGTCCCAGATAAAAAGTTTATTCTGAAGTATGGAACAGCTCTAAGTATAAGGATAAAAATTAAAACCAAACATGGGAATTGCGGTTAGTATTTTTTGTGTTTATATATAAAAGTGTCAAAGTTATTTTTCTAAAACATTTGTTCAAAGAAAAGGCTTTTTAAATATTTTTACAATATTTTCAGTTAAAATAGATAAAAGATTTAATGGTATGATTATATAATATCATTGTAACTTTTATAATACCTATAAAATATTTCTTTACTTTAATATTTCTTACCTATAATTTACTGGTATGTACCAGTAATTATTTTTATCATCCTTGGTATGCCCTGCTATTATTACATTAGTTTGTTAATTTTAAGGACACGGTTTTTTTGTTAATTTTAAGTATACACAGTAAAAAAGTACTGGTAAAATTACTGTGCTGTATCGTAATGTTAATTCTGGTAATAAAAACAAGATATATGGTATTTGAAACCATTCACTTGGTAATTTTCCGCTTATATGGTAAAACTTTACCTGGTTTCCGAAACTACAGCCGTTATTACTGCAAATTTAGTATAAATATCAAATTGCGAAATAAATTTAACAAAAAAAAAACGACTTTATGCCATGTTCTAAGGTATCATGATAAAATTACCAGATTTTACGTTATTTAACAAAATTTTCAACTCACTATAAAACCATATTTGAGTGTTAATTTTACCAAAATAGTTACTAAGAAGCTTCGGTAATAATTCTGGAGCTATTTGGTGTTCCACATAGAGTTAAAAACATAGTAAATTTTACCATTCTTTTGAACTTAATTTACCATACTTTTGACTATACTTTTTTTCTCGGTGTAAATATATTTAAGCCGTTATCTAAACTTATTAACTGTTTTACACTTATTAAAGAGAAGATAAGTCATAATTACCTTTATTGTAAGTCTTGTACAAAACTGTAAACTCATTTAATTAAAATAATGAATAAAAAATTTAAAAGCCATATAAATAAATATTAAATCATAGTATGTATAGAAGGGAGGTAAGCATGAAATTTGTTAAAAAAATGCAAAGTTGGTTGACAGTTTACAGATATAAGGAAATAATTCATTCATCTAAGTATGCATTTATATTTTCTCAACACTTTAGCAATGCAAGCGGCAAGTTGTTCAATGGAATAAATACATTTTACTTCGGTTTTATGAACCAGAATTACGTTTTTTTTTGCTACAAGTGTCATTACCATTGCAGTGCTTAATTGTATTAGAATTTGCTTCCCCATGTACGAGTACATCTTGAAATGTTTTGAAATATTTTCTATAATTAGTGTTGTTTCCTTACCAGAATGTTATGCTTAATAATATTACTTTTAAACATATTACGGATTTAACTTATTATGGATATAACAGTTTTAAAAATATTGCTGATGTAACTGTCGATAGATTTTTCTGTTTCGTTCTCGTTAATATTAATTGATCGTAATGTGTACACTTTTTGTTAAACAAGGATTTAGAAAGAACATGCTAGGGGGGGGGGGGCAAAAACCGAACACTTCTCAGAAATCAATAATTTTTTCTTATCCGCAAAATTTTGAATAGATAAGACTATTATTGATTTTAAAAATCTAAAAACTGACTTTGCAACATCTTCTAATACTTTTTCTTTTGTTTTCAGACTATTATTTTTGCAATCGGTATCCTGGTATGTGTTGTGGACCAGTGTTCGAGTACGGGTATGTACTATTGGCCTTATCAGAATAATCACGGAAGCCTTTCCTATCCAATTCAGTACGGTTCATTTGGTCCTTACTTAGCAATACCTATAAAATGTTTAGAACATAATGGGCAAAAGGAGGACAGAGGAAGTTCTGAAGGTAAGTTATGCAGTGCGCACTAATTTAAAATTCATAAATAAGTTATAACAGTTGGCCAAATAAAAAAAGTGGACAAGCTATAGAAGCGTCAGAAACACAGTAACAGTAGCAGCGTCACCAGAGTTTTTAGGATGGGTAACAGAAATGCACGGCAGACAGCTCATAATTTGTTAACCAGTCCACATGAGGGCTGGAAAAGATGCGTGAATAAAGTTGTACAAAACAGTTTGATTCAAAGGGACAGTTAAAAACTGCACAATTCCTTTATCGAGACACAGATACACAGATGCCCATAAGCAAAATATTTTCAAATGTTCCGTGACAGGACTTATTAATTTATACAAATGTTCTGTAAGCATTTCACACCGAAAAAAAGTCAATTTTACGTTAAAATACTATATTTTCATTTATTAAAATACAGGATCATACACAGATACACTACATTACTTTTTAAACCAAGGTAAACATTCTTGATTTGTTACTTTTTCAATCACTTTTGGAATACAAAATCACTTTTGAAATATATACAAACTGCACATTTCCTTTACTCAGACAAATTGCTACATAGATATAACATGTCAATCCTCTTCGATTATCTTTTTACTGGCTGCAGCAAAAGATTCACGAGAGATTATGGTTCTTGCTTGCCCTGAGTCTTGGCAGACCCATGCCCGTTCATGGAAACTTTTACATTCTCTTCAATGTGTCTAAGAGAGAGACAGAGTTTGCTACATATAGAAACCAATTGAGAATAAATGTATGTAGTACGCTCGCTATCTGGCAGTAGCATCATACGCTGCGTACTAGAAGCGTCGTGCTGTTTTGAAAACGCACATTTTTGTAAAACTTTACATTTATTTTAAATGTTCTAATGCCAACCGGTGAATCAGTTACATTCAAAATGTGTGCCGAGCTTAACTTACTCTAATATTCAGAACAGAAATGTTGCAAATGATTGACTGTATTTTATTGCTATCATACGCGTTTATTCTTACACACGTTACACTCTTACACTAATCACATTCTTCTCAAAATTCACAAACATAATTATTTTTAAGTTTATCAAATTTTGCTTGCCAGAACAAAATCAATCGTAATGTTTTTTTCAGTTGTAGTAAAAGCAACTTTACTTGTTAGCAGATTCCATTATTTGCATTACTATTTACATAACTTTCATTACACATAATATGTAATTTGCATAACATAATTTGTATACATAATTTGCATTATTATTTTTTTCATAAAATGCAATCAGAAATGAGGGGGCAATACTTAAAATGCTTCCTTCTCTTATTTAAATAAAGATAATTTTTCAAAGTAAAAGCATTTTTAAATTATAACTCATTATTAAAAATTTTCTAGATTTCGATAAAAATGCAAATATATAAAAATATTTTTTGTGGGGATCAAAACAGTCAAATATGGATAAAAATCTTATAAATTCTCAGGGTATTAAACAATTATTTGAAAATGATTTATACAAATTATCAGGAACATTATAAGGAAATTACATCAAAGATGCGACTATATTCTATTTTTCTTTCATTTCAATGAGAAATTAAACCGATTATGTTCAAAAACATTTTTTAGATACAATACTCAAAGTTGATTTACTCATTAATGTATGGTGCAGTAAAAATCACATACAATAAATTATGTTGAAAATAAATAAAGTGGAAGTTTGTCAAACAGTTTTTACCTGACTTGTGAAGAGTTCGCAAATAATGTATTAATTTTTAAATTTTAATTTTATTTTTATCATATTTTAAAATTCGAAAGCTTAAAAATTATTTCTAAAAATCCATTTTGTTTTTTCAGTGGATTTATATGGTTAATTCTTTTTCAGATGAAAATAATGAAGAAGAAAAAGAAAAGGAAAAAGGAGAGAATAAAGAAGAATTAGAAGAAGGTAATGGAAGAGAAGAAGAAAATGAATCTGAGAAAGAGGAGGAAAAGGAAGGCGAATCAGAGAAAGAGGAAAAAGAAGAGAAAGAGGAAAAAAAACTGAGAAAGGTTAAAAAATCTGAAAAAAAGAAGGGGAAATTTGATAAAAAAATTAAAGAAGGAAAAGAAAAGGAAGAAGAAGCTGAAGAGGAGGGAAAGGAGGAAGATAATGAGGAAAAAGAAAAAGAAGACGAACCTGAAAAAGAAGAAAAAGAGAAGGAAGAAGAACCTGAAGAAGAAGAAGAAAAAGAAAAGGAAGAAGAACATAAAGAGAAGGAAAAAGAAGAGGATGAAGAACCAGAAGATAATGAAAAAGAAAAGGAAGAGGAACCCGAAGAGGAAGAAAAGGAAAAGGAAGCCAAAGAAGAAGAAAAGGAACCAGAAGAAGAAGAAAAAGAAAAAGAAGAGGAGCCCGAAGAGGAAGAAAATGGCGACGAGGAAGAAAAGGATGAAGAGGAAGAAAAAGGAGAAAAGGAAGAAAAAGAAGAAAAGGAAAAAGAAGAAGAAAAGGAAGAAAAAGGAGAAAAGGAAGAGAAAGAAGAAGCAGAAGATAAGGAAAAAGAGCCTGAAAGGAAAAAGGAACGAAAATCAAAAGAAGAAGAGGACGATGAAGAAGAGAAAGAAAAGGAAGACGAGGATGAAAAAGAAGAGGATGACGAGGAAGAGAAGGATTCTAGGGAAGAAAATGAGAAAGAAAAAGAGGAAAAGGAGGGGGAATCTGAGAAAGGTAATTATTATTTTATTTTTTGGTTCTTTTTTCTTGTGAGATATTGAAATGGAAAATTCCATATATTAATATAGTAACGTATAAAAATATATGTTGATTTACATTATATTTTTATACGTTAAAATGTATTGATAAAGTTGGTAAAAGTTTTACAATTGAGAAACTGCTGTCGAAATTAGAAGAATAATTAGAGGATTTTTATGTTTTAGCACAGCTTTAAAAAAAATTTTTTTTTTGCTAAATATTAAAAAGGAAAGATGTGATTTAAGTATATTGAGCTTATTTTTATATTTTATTGCTGTGTGTTTTATTTTATTGCTGTGGATATTTTGGTTACTGTGTGTTTGCTTAAGAGAGATTCCATTCCAATATTATAATTTTTGGTAACTTACAATTTTAAAAAATATGTCTATCGAATTCTCGATGGTCATCAAACTGCAGACTTTATTGGGCAAGTAACAAATATAATAAATGATACAATACAGGTTGCAATATTTGCTACATAATGTGACGAATTTTATTGGTTTTCCTCCATTTTTTCTATTATTTTAATAGTGACAGCAGTTACACTTTATAGTCTTTTCTGAATTTTCATTAAATATAGGACATTACTGTTACAATAGATAATTCACTTAATTATAAGTAATGTACTTCAATAAATAGTTATCTAAAAATAATGTATAATTACTGTCTGTCAGATACAGTAGCATCTTTCTATTTGTGACTGTGAAAAGGCTTTTTTTGTATTATTTATAAATATATATGAATGGTTTCTATGGATACATTTTAAATGTAGTCATTTTCGTTTTTTACTTTATTTAAAAATATTTTTAACTAAATAATACCATTTTGCGTTGATAAATGTTAATTTTGTTACAATACAATTACCCTATTCTAAAAATAAATTGTTTAAAATGAAAAATTTAAAAGAAACCATTTATATTTAAAAAAAATAATTAATATATAAAAGAAATAAAACTTGAATGAAGTATAATGATTAAAGTTTTAATGCATTTACAAACTTGGAATTTCTAAAATAGTCATACATATTTTTAAAAAAACTGTGTAATCTACATAATTTAAGTCAATTAATTATAATTTACATAAATTAAGTTAAAAGGTTTTTATATTATTTATAAATATATATGAATGGTTTCTAAGTTTACATTTTAAATGTAGTCATTTTTAAATTTCATTTTATTTAAAGATACTTTTAACAAAATAATATCATTTTCCGTCGACAAATGTTAATTTAGTTTTAATACAATCATCCAAAGTATAAATATTGTAAAAATAAATTGTTTAGAATGAAACATTTAGAGGAAAACCATTTTTAATAAATAATTAATATTTAAAAATTAAAAGTTGAATGAAATATAATGATTAAAGCTTTAATGCATTTAGAAACTTGGAATTTCTGAAATAATTATACATATTTTTTAAAAAAAACTGTGTAATTTACATAATTTAAGTCCTGTTCATTGATTATTGACTATATTTATAATTGATACATTTGGGTTGAAAAACATCACTGTCTAAATACATGTGCAAGTGTTTAAATTACGCTAACGATTAAAATCTTAATATTCTAAATAAGATGATTTTAAATTCACTGTTCTTATCAGAAACTAAACGGTGATAAAATATATTACATTATTTAACAAAGAATAAAATTCATACATTGTAAAAAAATCCCGGATGAAATAACGGTTTAAAGTACCGGCAGTTTGGGTGCATCATGAGTAAGAAACATTTTACTGTAAAATATTATACCGTACTTTTTACATAAATATTTGATTAATAAGAGTTATTCAGTGATTTTACGGTATTTATTACTGTAAAAACTACGGTAAGCCAGATTTTTCCGTAACACGTTCCTGTAAAAATAGATTTTAAGGTAAAAAGTATTAGCACCATGAGTACCGGAACTTTTTACCGTAATTTTTTACAGTGTAATAGAGAAAAATCTTTCTTGATAAGAATCAAACTAGCACTAATATTCTATAAAGTTTGACAATATGAATCATCTGCATCAATAACTATATTTTTATGTGTATTTTGCGTATAAATAAAAAAGAAAGTACTAAAATTTATATAAATATGAAATATTATAGATTAATAATAATAAGCTTTATTTTATCGTTTTAGGACCAAATATGGCAAAAGTAAAATCCTGGTTTTACCAGCCTCTTCCTCCCGGATTTCCTGAAAGATCTTTTTCTAATATATTTTCAGAATCAAAAAGGCCATTCAACAGATTTCCTGTATCGCATCCAGCCAAAGGTGGCTACTCCTATTTTTACCAATATTAAAAAACTTTTATCCTCTTATACACTGTAAAAAATTACAGATCTAACTACGGTTTAAAATAGTATCTTTGGAGCATCATCCGTAAAATCTATTTAACCGTAAAATCCATTTAATATTTTACCGTAATTTTTACAATAATATTTTTGAATTGGAGTGATTTATTGGTTTTACGGTAGTCATTACTGTTAAAATTACGGTATAACAGATTTTTCTTTTGTTTAGTGACATGTTCCGGTAAAAGGGATTTTTCGGTAAAAAGTACTGACATCCTGAATGCAGGCACTTTTAATCGTAATTTGATCCGTAATTGTTTGCCTAAATTTATAAGGTTTCTCGTTACACCTAATAATATTCTAATGTAGGAATTCTTCAATTTTTTTAAAGAAAGGTAAGGGAGTGCACTTTTGAAATGAATCTTTATTGCTAAAAGTGTAACATCCTTATTTAAACATGAATTGTTTAAAGATTACTGGTCACCTTGTAAATAATTTTGTAGCAATTTTAAATAGTTGATTTGTCCTTCTTAACTTTTATTATTAATCATCAATTTTTTGTTGTTTTTAATGACTGCAAACATTTGATTTAATATCTTTATTGTGCTATTTACCCATCATTGACTAATTCATATGCCAATAGCTTTTAATGTCTTTTTGTGTTGATAATATTTATTTTTGAATCTCAAGCATTTTGATTCCGATATGATTTTTAAAATTTTAAAATAATGTAAATTGTTTTTTGAATTTCTTTAAAATGTAAACTAGTGAAATTTATATGTTTATTGTGTCTAGGTTCATTTGATCTGTGATTTAAATATATTAAATTCTAATTCAAGCAGTTTTGCTAATCTGCGCTGAATTTTCAGATCAAAAAATTAAAACATTTGAATTAACAAAATTCATGCCAATAATTAATTTGATGTATTTATTAGCATTGTTGTATTGTTCTAAGTATGTATTCGTGTGTATAGTAGGTTATTTATTAAAAACCAGTCATTTTTTAATGAGATAGTCTGTTTATTTATAGCAATTTCATTTTTTTACAGCATGTAGTGTTATTTAACATTATTTATGATTAGCATGAAAATAAATAATAAAGTATAAAGGAACATAAATTCAGAAATGTTTTTCAAAACAAAAGCATACAGATTGTCAGATTATTACACATTGTTGCAAATTCTTTTCCCATTTACTCTTAAAAAAACAAAAAAGAACTAACTATGATTGTTGTGTTATTGTTGATGTTTGAAAACCCTGTATTGTATGGAAGGCTTATAGACAGTGTTAATCATTCTATAGAATGCTTTTAGACATATCAGGAAATTTGAAAAGTTTTTTTTATAGATTGACAAGCAATCTTTAGGCAATGAAAGAAAAAAAAAGAATTTTGATTAGTTTCGTCCCTAAGGTTTTTTTTGGCATTCTACACTGAGAAAAAAGTATGGTTAAAACTACCAGATATGGTAACATTTACCGTGTTTTCGGTTTTATGGAAACACCAAAAAGCTGAGTAATTTTTATTGAAGCGCTTTGGTAACGATTTTGGTAAAATTAACTATAAAATATAGTTTCATAATAGCTAATGAAATTTGATAAATTTGGTAAATTTATCGAATATACCAAACTTTATGATACCATGATACTTTAGAAAATGGCCTAATTATCACTTTTTTCTTTTCAATTGGCTTTTATTTTTTGCATTTTTTACTAAATACGTGGTAATAAGAGTTACTATGTGAACGTAAAATTACTAAAAGACTGGTTTAAATACCGTATATTTTCGGTTTATTAACCAGAATATTGTTTTTTTCTTTTTAACAGAAATGTCACTTCCATACAATACAGTAACTTTAACAGAATTGTTTTCCCTATGTGCAGAAAGTCTAAGCAATGTGGGAAATATAAATAATTTTAAGCTTTACCGATCGATTTTAGGCTTTTATATTTAATAGGCGTTCTATAGAACAACATATTTAAGGCAATGACGTTAACAGTGAAATTAATAAATATAAAAGCATTTGTACGCAGATGTAATGGAATAAAAATAATATTTTCATTTAAAGAATATTATAACATGAAATTTTAATCTGCAATGTTTGTAATATAAAAGCAACATGGAAATAATACAAATAAATATGCTTGTTGTATCTAATTATAAAAATTTTTAAATCAGCAAAATTATGGTTGAGCTTGCACACATTTTGCTCCGATTTTACAAGTTTGGCGTTATATAAGACTTGGTAGGTATATACTTGAGATTATACAGAATTTGATTCATTTTTGCAATAAGTTCAAACCACTTTAAAATAACGTGATAACAGTAGACATTTTTTAATATTTGAATAACAATGAAAGAAATGTTGTAAAATTTATTTATCGATGTAAATTTTTTAAATAGCTGACCGATGAATTTATGATGCTTACATGAAATAACTTAATTTAATAATACTTTTCAATATTTTGTAGTTTTTATAGCTTTGAATATTTAGCTTTTGCAAATATTAACTCTGATATTGTTTGTTATGGTATTGTTTATTATGGTATTAGAAAGCAAGGATTATACAACGTCCTTTTTTTGTTATTTGTGGCTCGTCAGAAAAAAAATCAGGACATTAACCGAATAAAATATCTGGAAGTGTAATATTATTTAAATTCTGAAGAACAAGCACATTATACCATGTAACAAGGCATAAGAATGTGAATGAGATTTTATTTATGATTTTTCTTAAATTAGTTTTGAATTTTCACCAAATAATATTTATTGTAGTGCATTAGTAAATGGGATATATTGTACGGATTCCAATAGATCAACATTATGCTTTCGTAACGTCTCCTAGTTATTGAAACTTTCATATTCACAATACCACATTACCAACATATAAATGCATCAAATGATTAAAAACATATTATATTCAAAAATACAAATGAATATTTAGATATGCTCCTCAGACTCAAATATTTAATTAATATTTTGAATAGATTCATATTTTGAAAATAAAAACTAAAATTTTCTTTCATGTACTGGAATTTATAAGACTTTTACGATCAGCAGATTAAACTGGAGGCATTCAAACTTCTAGTTTTAGAATGAAAAAAATTAAAGAAAAATCAGGCCTCAAGTCTGTTTTATTCATTTGTATTAACACGGGTTGTTTAGTATGTTGTCCCTCTCTCATATGAAAAAAATCGTAAACGCGACCACCGTCACTGTTTTGGACGCTCAACTATACGTAATATATTATTTTGCTACGTAATATTATTCATATTGAGTTTTATTTTACTTAATATTTTATTTTGCTCAAAAACTGTAAGACTTAAAAACTTGAAATAACGTAGGCGTACGTAAAATACACTAGAATAAGATGGAACAAAATATGTTAACATTCTATAACTATTTCGAGAATTATTCACTGTTACAACTTGCAGTTAAGTTTGTAGTTGCAATGTAGAAATCGGAAAGCAACTAAAGAGTTAAAATTTTAAATAGGGTCATTTTTATTTATAAACTTAACAGGAGTTTTATTTTATTTGAAATTCCAATTTTACCAATTTTATATCACTTTCTTTGCTTTCAATAATGACAATTTAGTCCGTGAATTTTCGATGAAAATTTCATTTAAAACATTCGTGATTTAATTTTCAATGCCGAGAGGGGAAAAAAGAGAGAGAGAGAGAGAGAGCAAAGCAAATTCAAGAGTTACAGAGTGACGAAAATCGTTTCCCATTTGATTTAATACAGTTACATAATTATTTACAGTTACATAATTATTTACCGTTAACGAGTAAAATTACTTTAATTTTCTCTTATTGTGTCATACATTTTGCTTTCCTGTATTTTAATTTATGCTTGTGAGACTTTTATTATTTTTATGCTAGTGAGAACCAAAACAATATGGAAATGAATGAGTTAAAACTGGATCCTACCACGTGATTTCCCGGCCAATAAAAATGAAGCGTTAAACGTTTAACGCAACCTTGTTGGAAGTCGCATAAGAAGTATAACTTCAATAATAACAAAAAGCAATCATGGTGGTTGGTGCGTGGAGCGAACAGGGAAGGGGAGCCCTCTTAGTGTTAGAAATTTTTTTTTTTTTCGTGGTTTAAGTCAGCTGGTTTTGGTGAAGTTAACAGTAATTTATTGTTTTATAATTTATGCTAAAACTTGGTAAATGTGATTGAATTTGTTAATTTTATCATAATATCTTAGCATGATAAGAAAACAATTTATTCGCAATATTTACTTTTCAGTTTTGTATTTTTTACGAAATGTGTAGCAATACGAATTATAATTTTTAAAAGCAGAATTTTTAAGGTGAACCGTACGAACTGAAAAATTATCAAATAAATGATTTAAGTACCGTGTATTTTGGTTTTATTTTCAGAATTATTGTCTTTTCTAACCAGAAATGTCTTTGCCAATAAAGTGCGGTAATTTTACCAGAGTTGTTTCCTCTGTGTATAAGCAATTTTATAAACTAATAAACTAATTTTGTTTGAATATATGAAATATATAGTTTTGTACAAAAGAGCAGTCTTTGTACAAAACTATATATTTCATACAGGAGAGATTGACTGTTTAAATAGTTTATTTACAAATGCTATTGAATTTATAAATGTTTGTTTATTATTTTTTCTTAAAAAATATTATATTTACTGATAATATGATGACACAAATAATTGAAAAAAAAAAAAACCCATGAATGATAAGTCTTATAATCGAATTCGGAAAAGCGAATTATAGCCGAGCCGAATCTACGAAAGCAATTTATGAAATACCGATTATTTTTTATTACAATAAAACATTAGTTTAAACGCAAATTAGATCAAACATGTTGAAAATATGTTAAATGTGATTCATTCTTTTTCAATGTATTGTCAGCTATACATCAAATTAATTAGGAAAAAAAAAGTAACAGCTTTTTTGCCTGCGGTGTACTATAGAACAATATCGAAACAATAATGACGTAAGAACGGAAGGATGTACCACAGGTTTTATTTTATAGTCCTTGTTTTTTAAAGTACTGTTATGAACAATTACCCATTGTTTTAATATCGTTTCGTTATCAAACGATACCGAACGTTCTATTATGTTAGGTTTTAAAGCAAACTATATAAAGCTGTGAATATTTCTTCGTCTATTATACGCAAAAATTGCTAATTTTCTGAAATCACTGGAAAATGATGGCGAAATTATTTGTAAGTAAAATTTAAAAGTTTAATTCATTTAAATTTAATTAACTTTTAAGTTTTAAATAGTTATTTTAAAAAGCATGTATTATATATTACAATTTTGGTTATTTTTAATAAGGTATAAAGTTGTGTATTATTCAAAATGAATCATTCTGTGTATCTTTTGATTGAATGATTTTTGATTGATTTTGATTGAATGTGTATCTTTTGATCACTGATATTATGTTTCATTGCCCATCGTTGAAATTGTTCATTTTTCATTAGTAAAGATGATTAGTTTTAACAACTAAGCGATAGAAATTAATTAAAGTGATATATAAATGTACTTACTTTGCATGGATAGTGCAATAAATTATGAATCTTACTTAAGGAAAGAGGGGTGTTAAAAATACGAATATTTACCTGCAAAAGAGCCGCAGGAAGTTAAATACCAATATTTTGAATGATAGTTAATGATAATTAATGATTTTTTTTATTTTTTAAATTCTTCTCCGTGTATCTGGCTCTAGTTCTTCTGACAACTAATTTTTTTCTCGCAATTGCAAGCCTGGTTTTGGAAAAGAGAACTTCTTTCAGAAAAAAATTAGCAATTTAATAATGGTTAATTTATTTTTCGATTTGGGTGTATAAAAGTTCTTAATTACGGATTTTTTGTGATAAATTTTAAAATTTAAATTAATTGGTTAAATTTCATCTCTTTCATCTTCTAAATGTTTCATCCCCAAATAAAATTACTATTTTCGGTTATAATTATTAAAGCTATTAATATTGATTATTTAATTGATTTTCATTTTATTCTTTCAAATTTTTAACCTATAAGGTTATATAGTTTGACATTTTTTAGTTCATAGTTTTTTTTAGCATTTAAATATTCACAAATTAACTAATCAAAACAGGATAATGTGTGAAGATTATTTTTCTGTTAATCGAGACTAATTGCACTTCATCGTGATATGGTGATTCTGTTGCAACAAAATTTTGTTAAATTTCAATCCTTAAAAGAAATGTTGACGTTCTGATTGTAGTTTTAATTCTACATAATTTTTTCTTCTTTTCACTAATTTCTTTTTAATCGAAGGGGGAATATCTGTAGTATTGTATACCACATATGAAATATTTCTTTTCAAACATAAATATGTAATTTTTACATCAAATCTTGGAAAATTAAAGTAAATGATTTAATTAATTTACAATGAATGTCATTAATTTAAATATGTTAATTTAATGTGGTATATTTTTGTTAAATTAATAATTTTTTAATTAAGAAATTATTAATTTAGCGAAAGCATGCCATATTAAAGTAACACAATTAAATTAATGAAATGCATTGCAAATTAATTAAAGCATGTATTCTAATTTGCCGCGAATAAATAAGAAATATTTGTGTTATAATACAAATATTTTATATGTGGCATACTATGCCTCAGATATGAAGAAAGTTGATCAACAAATGAACGAAATAAAAACTGTTTAAAATGTAACGGTGTATTTCAGATGTCACGGGAGATTTTAACTATCCAATTGAAGCATAAGACTAAAATATTCCCTAAAAATCCAGCAAATGGGGATAAAACCAATTATTTTTTTAAATAAACACAGAAGAAAAAAGATTTTTCAAGTGATGAAATTGTATTAAAGTTTGTCGACGCTGGATCTCAAATGGACATAATTTGTCATTAATCGTGGCTCTGTGTTGAAACTTAACATAAGTCTTCTTTCCCTCGAACACTTGGAAAAATGACTCAGATCCTATTTAACATTGAAAAATTTTAGCGTACAGGTTTACCATCAGTTTGCCTACACTGACATTAGGTATGGAAAAGGTTGAACAAAAAATGTACAAAATAAAAAATGCTTGAAATAAACAACAGTTCATTTTGGTTAAACCACGCATGAGTCATGTGACACGTTTCTTTTCTATATATTTAGTGTTTTCGAATTGTAATTTTTAATTTTAAAAGACTCGAGAAAAATAGAAAAGATAATTAGTATTTTATAAAACCATTGATTCTGTGACTCAATCCGATATGCATGTTCATCTTTTCGTTTTATACTACTATGACCTTTTTAAGATATTTATTAATTATTATATAATATCAACTATAATTGTAGCTTTATTACGTTGCTATTGTTATATGTTTTTTCAAATTAATGACATTACTTTTTGTGATAAGTGACAAGTTTTTTTTCCTATTTAGTGTTTCCTAATTGTAATTTTTAATTTTAAAAGACTCGAGAAAAATAGAAAAGATAATTAGTATTTTATAAAACCATTGATTCTGTGACTCAATCCGATATGCATGTTCATCTTTACGTTTTATACTACTATGACCTTCTTAAGATATTTATTAATTAATATATATAATATCAACTATAATTGTAGCTTTATTACGTTGCTATTGTTATATGTTTTTTCAAATTAATGACAATACTTTTTGTGACAAGTGACAAGTTTTTTTTTATTTAGTGTTTCCTAATTGTAATTCTTAATTTTAAAAGACTCGAGTAAAACAGAAAAGATAATTAGTATTTTATAAAAATATTGATTCTGCGACTCAATCCGATATACATCTTCATCTTTTCGTTTCATGCTATTATGATACTTTCAGGATATTTATTAATTACTATATAATATCAACTATAATTGTAGAGTTTTATTACATTGCTATTGTTATGCGCTTTTTCAAAGTAATGACATTACTCTTTTATATATTATAAATTTAAGTGTTTAGTTACCTTTCACAGTTATCTTTAAGCAATGTGTTATGATCCGTAATGTTTAGATAATGTTTAAGCATAACGTTTATATAATGATAGCATTATGTACAGCATAGTGTTTATATAATGATATAATTTTAAAGTTTTATTTGACTTAAGATTTCTACGCATATTACATCATTATTTTAATGCTACATAAATTAACTTAATTAGTTGATATGTTTTCGGTGAGATAGTTTATTTTATTTTGCATGTATATTATTATCATCATTTGAAATATCAATCAACAAAGAAAAAAAAGGAGAAGTCTAATTTTAAACTTAACTTAAATAAAATTTAAACAAAGAAAAATCATAGCAATATTTTGAAAGCAATATTTTGCAAGCAATATTTTGAAAGCAATATTTGAAAACAATATTTTGAGAAAAAGCAATATTTTGCAATGGTATATGGGTATACGTTTTATTGATTAAAATTCTGTTCAGTTCGTTTCAGGTTACACTTGGCAGGGAAGCTTACATGTTCGACAGGTACACTGGAACTTGGGTACTAAAACCTAGTATGTCGTTGATTCCACCACGTGTTTCTATTTAGTTAATATGTAGCTGGTAAATTTACCTTGGTTGTTACTTCAAATAATTAGCATTAATGAGATTATTTTTTAAAGTCTGATAATCGATGGGTATAAAGAAAGAATCACTAGGACAACTAAAGTTCCAATTTAGAAAATAAAGACACGACCATGAAAGCTCGCATGAGAATATTTTCAAACAATATGCTTAGTATCAAATAGATAGCCCTGATATGTTTGGCCAAAAAGGATAAAAAGGGAATTTCCTCTGGTACTGCTGTGGTCACACATGGTCAGCAAAAATAAATGACTAGATTTTAAAAATTTATATTTTCAAAACTATTTTATAAATGATACATAAAATTAAATTTTCCGTTCAATCTTTCCAATGTGTGGTCATTTTGTTACAAGACAAACATCTAGTTTGAAATCAAGTTCATTCCATACGTTTTATAGTATATCACACTTTCAATGGTTTCGAATGAAAGCGCCCTTCAAGTTCTTGAAGAATAGTAAGAGAGCCGGGTAACGGTGATTTTTACTTCTACTATATGACTACCATGATACCCTGACTTAACACCATGTGAGTTTTGGCTCAATTTCTGAAGATAGACATTGGAGGAACGAAACAAATAAAGAGATTTATGAAAAATATAATAACTTTGAAATTGTTTCAAATATAATGATAAAAATAATCCAATGGTTTGAACGCAACCTAAGAACGGAAAATGTCAAAAGATTATTAGACGAAAAGATGGTCAAAATCTAGAAGAAGACATAGAACTAGAACAAAGTGAGAAAGTCCTGAAAATTAAGACCTAAAATAAGAAAGCAACCAACAAAAAAAAAATGATCCAAAATCTTAAAGAAGACCAGGACTCTGCAAGAGCTGTAGAGCTTTGAGGATTAAGGAGGATTGTAGAGGATTAAGCTCCATTCACGGTGTAAAATTACAAAATTTGTGGAACAAGCTTCGAATTTGTGGCACAAAAACGAATTACTGCAAGATTAATTTTAATAAACTTGATAGTTTTTTTTGTTGTTGTTATAAATTGTCGAAATCAACAGACTAACTTAAGATAACTTGTAGATAGCTGATATGTTATGTCTGTTTAAGTTCTGTAATGAAACATTTCCTCTTTTAAAAAAAATGCTTAGTTAGTCATCCAATGAATTCTTTCAGTCATTCTTTTAATATTGATCCCGCTTTTTCATTTCAGTACGTTAAAGTCAAACAAAGTTCATTTAAAAAAATTGCAAATATACTGAATTTTATATTGAATGAATATTAATTCTTCAAGCTCAATTCAAGTACTCTTGTCGTGAACGATACATGCTTGTATATAAATATATAAAGATATATGTTTATATATAGAGCTTAATGTATATATTACGTAGTCGCATTTTCTATACTTTTAGGAAAAGTGATTTTATCAATTCAATTTCATTTATAATAATACGTTTGCCTTCATTTTCATTAACTGTTTCAATTTCTAAAAAGACAAGCCATAAAAGTAAATTTTGTATAGTGGCATGCTATTTTCGTTTTTCAATTTTCACGTTTCGGCTAAAGGGTAATTAACAGGTATGAATCAGGGCTACTTATTTATAGATGCAACTTAATGATAATATCTTTCTTGAGCGTATTTTTCCTGATAACTAAATACTAAGTTTGGTGCTCAATCTACATAAAGTGAAACTTATTTGATTTTGCAGGTTTCATTTTGGCTGTTTGGAGCTCTCTGTTTTGTTCTTGCGACACAAGCCCACAAATGTGCAGATTCTGAAGTTGGACCGCATCCAGATCATTTTAGTCCTGAGGAAAAACAAGACGAAATTACTGGTGGTCGATCAAGACGTGGATTCGGTGGTGGACCTGGAGCTAACAATTTCGGACAAGGTGGCAACGGAGGTGGACCAGGAGCAAACAATTTCGGAGGTGGAAGCGGTAGACAAGACGATAGATATAGTGGACAAGGAAGTAGGTATGGTGGACAAGGCGGTAGATATGGTGGACAAGACAGTGGATATGGTGGACAAGACAGTAGATATGGTGGACAAGACAGTAAATATGGTGGACAAGACAGTAGATATGGAGGACAGGATAGTCGATATGGTGGACAAGGAAATGGAAGGCAAGGTGGAAGAGGCTAAGATGATTAAGGTGGTGACTCTGACTACTGAAACTGAATAGAACATTGAAAAGGCTATAGTATATATTTTAATATTATGTTTTTAAACTGGAATTATGTCTGCACTTATATTTTAATATCTTTTTAAACAAAATTGAAAATGCATTTTATAAATAAAATAATTTTTTGAAGCTTATAGTTATTTTTTAAAAAAAATATGGGTAAACTCATTATTTTACATATTTAATAACAAAAAAACTATATGGTTTTTATATGTTTCATTAGTTGTTTGAGGCTATTATTTGAAGGCTCGGTCGTCAAATAAAACAATTTTTTTAGCGATAACATTCAGTTATTCTTAGTCTGTTTATTACAATTATAAAAAGGAAGCAAAACGTCAAAAGAAGAAAAGTTTCAGGTTTGTGAAAATGAAATTCAATTTTTCTACATTAAAATGCTATGTTAATAATTCTTTCCTTGATAACAGTTTAGGGGGAAAAAGACTATAATAATTATATTATCGTCAAGGTATAAAACACCGGCATTCCATAGAATGCCCAGTAATTGTATAAAGTACCTGGTATTTTTAAGCAAAGTCAAATACGAGAATCTTTACATACTTTGAATAATTGTATAGAAAATCCAGCCATTCTATTGAATGAGAAATGTTCTTTAGGTAAAATATGAAACATAAAAATTCTGTATTTAGTTTCATTAAATGTCAGTATGTTTTTGATTAGTCATTCTCTAAACTGCCTAGGCAATGTAAGAAGTATAACTAGCTTTACATTTTGCTGTTTTATCTTTTGTCATTCTATAGAGACTCTCGGAATTGTGTGAAGTATATTATTTGTTGAAAAATCTTGAATTGAAGTCTTAAAAAGCATTTTTTTGATAAGAAGAAAACATTAAATTAGAATGTATGAATTATGAGATTTCAGATTTAGCTTCTAATTTTCGCCAAAACTAACACTATCATTCCCAGGTTTAACAAAAAATGGTGTTAACTCGTTTTTTTTGCTACCATCCTTGACTTGTTGTAAACAAACTAAGAAGGTCAGACAAAGGCCTCCGCTTTGGTATCCCGACGACCTGCTCTTGAAATCGAGCACTTTACGGTACAACAGTTTACCGAGGACCGATACCGTGCACCCTCGGCCCCAACGTAGGCTGATCAAAGTGATCACCCACCCGCTTACTGACCGCAACCCTTGACTTCGGTGTTTTAGTGGGGAACCGTGTCTTTACGATCAGTCCTCTGCAGGACTAAATACTTTCAGACAAAACAATAAATTCTTTATAAAACCTTTTTCAAACAAAAATAAATCTTTTATTTTCTTTGTTTGTTTGGTAATAAATATAAATTCTTAATTATGTAATTCGAAGCAAATGCACACAATATCATTAGGATAGACTTATTGATTGTTTATATTTGTTATATTTTAAGAAATATATTAATATGGCCATTTCCACCCAATAATTCTACAAATGTTAGATTAGTATTTTGCAATTATGGACATTTTAAAAGTTTAGTTAGAATCTTTTCTAGATTTAGAAGAAATCTTTCTAGAATCTTTCTAGAATCTTTTCTAGAAAGATTTAGATAAACATAAAGATTACAGGAAGACATAATTGCTGACAATATATAAAGCATAATTGCAGATAATATATAAAGACATAATTGCAAAATTCGAGATTAGTATTTTGCAATTATGCACATTTTAAAAGTTTATTTAGAATCTTATCTAGATTTAGAAGAAATCTTTCTGGAATCTTTTCTAGAAAGATTTAGATAAACATAAAGATTTAGTTAACGATAAGGATTCTTCTTTCAAATAACAGAATAAAACTGAAGACTTGAATGATTTAAAGTTTATTTTCTTCATTACATAGATTGGCGATTATGTCATTTTGGAAAAAAAAATATTGACTTGATTTTAAAATTGATTTTGCATTTAAATAATTATAAAATTATTCTGCGAAGCTAGTTTTGTTCGAATTTACAATATGATGTAGTTATGTATAAATTAATATATTTTTTTGAAAATTATCATTTGATGATAATTTATTTGCAATATATGATGATAATAACTGCAATTAACATCATGTGAGTCTTACAAACGAGAAAAGGCTTGCAAATTGCATATACCATTCATAAATATATCCCTGATAAAATGACTTTTATTTTCTGTAATTTTCTTCATAAAAATCAAACCTTAATGATTCAATAGAAATCATATTAAGTATTAGAAAAAATATTTTAAATGCGAATTATTCTTTTATAAACATTTCATAAAATGTTGGCTGTATATCAACTAAGGAAAAAAATAATTAATAGCTTCACCGCCTGCGTTGCAACGTAGAATAACATCGAAACAATTATGACGTAAGAACGGAAGAATGTACCACAAGTTTTTTACTTTACAGCCCTTGTTTTCGAAAAGGAAAGTTATGAACAATTACCTATTGTTTAAATCTTCTTATTTTAGTATCAAACGATGCCGGATATTCCATTATATTACATTTTAAAGCAAAGTATATAAATGTGTCTCCAAATAATACGCAGAAGCTAACGGTATTTTGAAATCGTAAGAAAATATGGCGAAGCTATCAGTAAGTAAAATTTACAAAGTTTGATTCGACAAAATTCATTTAAATTTTAAACTATTATTTAAAAATTATATGAAATAGATAATAAAATAAATAAGAAATTATATAATAAGCAATATATTAGATAATTTTCTATTATGTTACATTTTAAAGCAACGTAAATAAAGCTGTAAATATGTCTTAGTCTAATACGCAAAAGTTGCCAGTATTTTGAAATTGTCAGAAAATATGGTGAAGTTATCAGTAAGTAAAATTCATAAACTTAGATTCGAAAGAATTCGATTAAGTTTTAAACTATTATTTAAAAGAAAATAAATAAATTATATAATAACTAATAAATTACGTAATAAATAATAAATTTTATAATAAATAATAAACTATAGAATATTCTATTTATACATTTTTAAGCAAAGTTTATAAAGCTGTCTCCGTCTAATACACGAAAACTGCCAGTTTTTTGAAATTGTAAGAAAACATGGCGAAGTTAACTGTAAGTGCAATTTAAAAAATTAGATTCGAGAGAATTCGATTAAGTTTTGAACTATTATTTTAAAAAATAAATAAATTACATAATAACTAATAAATTACGTAATAAATAATAAGTTTTATAATAAATAATAAACTATAGAATATTCTATTATTGTACATTTTTAAGCAAAGTTTATAAAACTGTCTCCGTCTAATACGGAAAAACTGCCAGTTTTTTGAAATTGTAAGAAAACATGGCGAACAATTTACAAAATTAGACTCGACGAAATCTGATTAGGTTTTAAACTATTATTTAAAAAATATAATTAATAATTAATAAAATATTTAATCTCTCTATATAAAAAAGGAATGTCTGTGTGTGTGTCCTTTAAAGACTTCTAAACCATCCGACCTAAAGCTATGAAATTTGGCCTACAGATAGTTCAAAGCACGAGAAAGGTCAGTGTCGGCATTAGAACATTCTACGACAAACTGTTCGTGTCGGATGAGTGAAAAACGAAATGGAATTTTCTGATTGGTTGAGTAGCCATTGTTTTAAATTTAAAGTTTCAATTGTTCACATATTTTAAAGATAATCTTACTGATCCTTGTTAGCTTATAGCTCTATTTTATCAAAAAAAGTCTATTGCACGTATTTAAATATTTAATTATTTCATATTCGCTGTGTCAGATAAATTCAATGAGCATTGCGGGGTAGAGAGCGTGGTCCACGTCACCAAATTTTTACTTTGTCTGATACCACGTAGAGCCCCTACCCAAGTAGCACAGGGATATTGTAACAGCTTTAGTCTACATCGACCGACATTGCCAATATTGGCGAAATTCGACATTGTGTGTACGATATTGTACGATTCCCGTCGATTTCACATTAAAAGTCTGTTTGTAAAACTTTTCATTTTAAACTTTATTGTGTTCTTAAATCAAAATTAATCATTTAAAAGGCAAAAAATGACGTCAAATTGTTATAATTCCAAAAAATAAATTTAAAATATAAATTTAGAGATATCCGAAATGCTGATAGATATCGATCGACGTTCCCCAACGTTTTAACAATATCAAACAATATTGTTTCGCGATATTGAATATACGTTATAAAAGGGGTCAGTTTTTATATAGTACAATGTTTCGCTACGATATTGTACAATGTTCAAAGCTAAGTTTTTACGATATCGTTTTTGTGAATTGTGCTACTTTGGTACACCACCCACTTTTGTTTTATTTATATTAATTCACTTAAACAGTTCCTAAAAAATTACTTATTTAAAACCAACGGTAATGGAATAGAAAAAAATATTTATGTATTCAAAAGTAAAATTAATTCGTTAAGGAGAAACATAAGAAATCGACGCCAATGAGAGTTAATTACGCCAATGATGCTTAATTAATTAAGGTAATATATGCGCATTGAAATAAAAGAAATAAGCTACGTACTAGGAAGCAAAAAAAATAAATAAATAAATAAATGGTGTAAAGGTATTTATTTGTCTAGAAGAACTCTAAGAAATCGTCATACTATCATTGACGAGAATGATGGTTAATTAATGAAATTGGAATAAAAAAGTAACTTCTGAACATAAAAGAAAAAATAAGTAGAGAAGATAGTTATTCGTGTTTTGAATAACTGGAAGAATCTGCATATTATTATTGAAACTAATGCTCAATTGATAAAAATAATGTCTATTAATTGAAATAAAATAAAATGAAATAAGCTATGTGCTGAAACGCAAAGCTCATGGAGGAAAGATTAATGGGAAATTCGTTTAAGAAAAGCGCAAAAAAACACCAGCCACAGAAGACGCTTAATTCATATACATCATTGACTGTAATATGTACTATTGGTATTATGGTAATTGGCGAATTGATTTTGATAAGAATTCTACAACGGGTTTTCCGTAGTTTCAGAAAATATTTTCTCCAGTGGTAGCTAAGATAGTACATTAATATTTTAA